AGGTTAAAGGGCTACACTTTTATGAATTCAACATTATGGAAAATAACCAACAAGATTTTGGTAAACACTAGCATAACAATATCCCTTATCATGTATTGTTTAAAAGAAAAAATTACTGTAATATCTCAAGTGTGAAACATTATTGTTGTGAAATACATTTTGATAAGGAATATTTCTGAATTTGCACAGCAATTATTTGCAGTGGACTTGGAAAAAAAACAATGAAAGATAATTAAAAAAAACTATACATGTGGACTTTCTGGAACTATTACTATACTATTATGGCTAACCTATATACAATTCTGCAGAGTGCCTATTTTTCATTTAGTTTTGTTTTTTTAATAAATTAATTTTATAAAAATTCACTTTTATTATTATTTATTTATTATTTATTATTTTAAGTCTTAAGTCTTCTGAAAACTCTTATGAACTTATAGTGTACATTGAATCTTGCTATATCTATTTTTAATAATCATGTCCTACAATTAGTAAAATCAATTATGTTGTTTAAAGTTCATGTACCAATCAAAGGTTGAATTGTATTAGTCTTTATTATTACTAATTAAATTAGCATACTTTTGAGTTTTGTCTATTAGATTCTTAGTGTTAAAGGATAGGTTCAGCTTTCATAACATGTTACACCCATACCCATGGTGTAACATGTAACATGTTACTAAACAAGCAGACTCCCACACTCCCCTGAGCCCCCCTTGTGACAGTCGGCCATGGATCTTCTCCCTGCATCCGCTGTCTCAATTAACATAGAAAACTGGCATAGCAGGGCTCCTCCCACCCGACCACATCATTCATTCACAGAGTTCTGTAAATGGAAGAACTACAACTACCATCATCCATTGCGGTTGATTGCTTGTAGTTCTCACTGATTTACCAGGGCACTGATGAGAGCACTAGGTAGTTCATTGATGCTTCCTGTCACTCAGTAACTGCCTGCCCATACAAGGTACAGGCAGACAGCTATTCTGACAGTCTGCAGGAGCCTGAGATTGCACCAGATCGCATTGGCAATGTTTTACAGGCTCCTAATGACAAAAATGCATTTTTTTTGCCTACGAAAAGATCTCCATGTGGTATTTTTTTAAAAAAAGGTGACTGTATTCTTTAACTTCATGAAAATTTATTTTATGGACTAAACTGTCAAGTTAGATGCCATAGAAATTAAAAAACAAAGTTTTCTTTGTTTTTATTATTCATAACTCTCTATACTTTTTGATGGAATTTATTTTTTTTAAGATGCAGGTCCTGACATCTTAAATTCATCATGATTCTCACACCGCTACCTATTAAATCATCAACTTGACATAAGCAGTAAAGTCTGGAAAGATACAATATGATACAATGCAAAATATGCATAATTAAAGAAAAAAATCCAGGAAAAGAAAATAATAACACCCCTACCTTTCTTCCAACCATTCCCCAGGCTAACGAAAAAAAAAAAACAGAATTCACCTTCACTGGCTTGCCTTTTTTAAATCATTACACGACTGCTGGAGATTTTATCTGAAGGATTAAAAACTGGACATTCAATAGGAAGTGACCACATTTCTAAGGCAGTGATGAGGTCATTTAACAATTTGAATTTTTGTTTTTTTTTTTTAAATCAAACTGAGCCTGAATCAACTGCACATAAATTTAAATAATTGGTTCTGTAATCTTACATGGGGTCTGTAAAATAACCAGCAGTTTTGTGTGCACAGTTAACAGACATAATAGAATTATTTGTTTTCTATACCCACTATCCTTATGTGCTTTAAAATTGTCTTTAAAATAAGACAGAGAAATATGTTTTGTATTAAAAAATAATACTCTGTAGTTCCTCAGTAGAGGGATTTTTGATTTCTCACACCTTACAATAGGTTGAATGGTCATTTATTTCAGTAAAAGTTGTTCTTACTTCATAAGTAACAGAATGCTGGTAGCAACAAATATGATTAAAAAAATAATTTTAGAAGATTGCATAAAACCCCAAACATTATATATTTTCTGAAAACAGACACCCCTTCAAATTTTTATGTTGCACAATATTAACTCAACAGTTTAGGAAACCAAAAATGTTTAGCAATAAATACTCTAAAATTTTAGGGCACAAAAATGCAATATATTACCCGATATTTTGGTAAAATATAAAAAGACAGGTAAACAGATACCCGACATGTAAAAACTTTAAGATTGCATGCGCCTGTGTGACAAAAAACTTCATAACGCTATATTTTCCATAGGTGACTCTTTAGGCTAGGTTCACATCTATGCAGATTGTTGTTTGTGCAATTTTTCAGTGCATGTTACATTTTTGAACACACATCTTTTATGTGTTTTGCATTTTTCTTTTTTTTTTTTTTTGGCCAATAGGTATAGTACATTGTGAGAGCCACAAGTTTACTCCTGACCGACAATATCAGATTGCAGCGAGTGCGGATGGGTCAGTGAACGTGTTTTTTTTTTTTTCTATTTCGATGAGTTGTCATCGTCGATGGACACCATGATTTACGATGGATTACAATAATGGAAGCATTTTTTGGCTTTTTTTTATTAAGGGACTTGTCAAAAACTGTGCTGAGTACACCCTACTCAGGGTTGTGGAGCAGAGGCCCTTGTGCCCATCAGCATGGGGGACACTGTCCCCATGCTGAGGGCACGTGGCCTGGTAAGCCGCAGGGAGGGGGGGTGCTTGATTGCCCCCCCTGTCATGCCCTGCCAGGCCTGTGCTCAGATCAAGGGTCTGGTAGGAATTTAGGGGGGACCCCACACCTTTTTCCCAAAATATTTTTGGGGTGGGGTTCCCCTTAAAAGTCCAACCAGTCTTATAGGGCCTGGTATGGCTTTTAGGGGGAACCCCACGCACTTTACTTCCCACTTTTGTGAGGTGGGGTTCCCCTTAAAATTCCTACCAGGCCTAAATGACTGTATGACATTTGGAGATGTCAACATGGAGCAGAGAGGGAGTATTTTTTTTTTCTCTCCCACTCACTCATCCTATTCTAGGATTGACATGTTCTTTGCAGACAAGTGGTTTATCCCTTATATTGTCTCCTCAGCTATTGAAACAATAACCTGGTCAGATCGTGCACCCATAACTTTGCAACTATCTGATTCTCACTACTCCAAATCTCCCCCCCCCCCCCCATGGAGGATGAATACATACCTTCTCTCCGATCCTGAATGCCAATGCTCACTATCTGATGCATTGACCAAATATTTCAAACCTAAACTATACCCCTGATATTGATGCATTCACTATTTGGGCTGCTCATAAAGCCTTTATGAGAGGAATAGGAGTATGAAGGTCGTGTCTTAGTCCAAATAGTTTAGTAGACGTCAAAGGAGAAGGTTCCCAGATAAGTCAAATTTTTTAGATCGCTTCTTTTTCACTCAGGGACTCAATTGAAGCGATCTAAAAAATTTTATTTGCTTATCTAGGAACCTTCTCCTTTAACTTCTAGTAAACTATTTAAACTAAGACACGACCTTCCTAATTTACTCATGTACAAATACGAAAAGTACATAAATTTTCTTAATACCAACTCTTATGCCCTTGAAAATAGGACAGGTGCATACTTAGCTAAACGTATCAAGCAGAAAAATCTAGCTACCAAAATCTATTACCTCTTAAATCCTAGTGATAACTCTAAAGCTTACAATGTAGCCTACATTGTTGAAATATTTAGACACTATTACTCCATCCTATATAACCTGCAACAAGATGAAACTACTCATCAACCTACTTTGGAACAAATACATTCCTTCTTAATCAACTGTCACTCCAATCCCTTACGGAGGACCAGGAGCAAACCCTTTCACAACATTTTCAGAAAGTTATTAAAAGTCACCCTTCTCATAAAGCCTCAGGGATAGATAGCTTTCCTAATGAATATTATCAAAAAATTCTCTAATCACCTAGCTTCCCGACTTGTTTCTATCTACAATGAAGCACTACATAAAGGGCATTTCCCTAAAGCGATGCTCCAGCCAGTCATCACTACGATCCCAAAACCTCACAAAGACACCTCACTCCCCGACAATTATAGACCGATTTCTCTTCTAAATTTCAATCTAAAAATTGAATGTGAAAACCCTAGCACTTAGACTGATCAACATATTACCCTTGGTCCACCCAGACCAAGTGGGCTTTATTGAAAATCAACAAGCCCCTGATGCCACTAGGAGGATGCTTCACTTGCTTAACCACTTGCCTACTGGGCACGTTTATCCCCTTCCTGCCCAGGCCAATTTTCAGCTTTCAACACTGTCGCACTTTGAATGACAATTGCACGGGCATGCAACACTGCACCTAAACAATTTTTTTTTTTGAGACAGATTTATTTATTTATTTCAGGTACTTGTATAGCACCGTCAATTTATGCAGCGCTTTACATATATATTGTACATTCACATCAGTCCCTAACCCACAAGGGGTGTACAATCTAAGGTCCCTAACTTACATTCATACATACACATACTAAGGACAATTTAGACAGGAGCCAATTAACCTACCAGCATGTCTTTGGAAGGAAACTGGAGTACCTGGAGGAAACCCACACAGGCACAGTGTGAACATGCAAACTCCAGGTAGGTGGTGCCGTGGCTGGGATTTGAACCAACGACCCTAGTACTGCCAGGCGGAAGTGCTAACCATTTAGCCACTGTGCTGGCCAGTAGAGCTTTCTTTTGGTGGTATTTAATCACTTCTGTTTTTTTTTATTTTTTGCAAAACAAACTAAAAAAGACTGAAAATTTGGAAAAGAAAAAGCCTTTTCTTAGTTTCTGTTATAACCAACGACCCTAGTACTGCCAGGCGGAAGTGCTAACCATTTAGCCACTGTGCTGCCCAGTAGAGCTTTCTTTTGGTGGTATTTAATCACTTCTGTTTTTTTTTTTATTTTTTGCTAAACAAACTAAAAAAGACTGAAAATTTGGAAAAGAAAAAGCCTTTTCTTAGTTTCTGTTATAACATTTTGTAAATAAGTAATTTTTCTCCTTCACTGATGTGCGCTAATGAGGCTACAGTGATGGGCACTGATAGGCTGCACTGATGGGCACTGATAGGCGAGACTGATGAGGAGGCACTGATAGGTAGCACTGATGGGCATTGACAGGCATCACTGATGGGCACTGAAAGGCAACACTCATAAATGGCACTGATAAGCAACACTGGTAGGCGGCACTAATCGGAACTGTTAGATGGCACAGATTGGAACTGTTAGGTGGCACTGATGGGCACTGATAGCGGCACTGACTGGCACTGATAGGTATCAGTGACTGGCACTGATAGTTGGCACTGAAAGGCAGCTCTGATGGGCACTAATATGTGTCATTGATGTGCACTGCTGGGCACTGACAGGTGGCACTAATGTGGCTACACTGATCATCAGTGCCCTGATGACCAGTGTAGATGTCCCCTCTGAGGAATGCCACTTACCGGCTCTCCTCTCTTCTGGACCATCCCAATCAATATTCCCCAAAAATACTTTACCAAAATGCACTCCCTACTCATAAAATACAAATGTGCCTTTTCTATTGTCACCAAACAGCTCAATATGGGAGGACTGTCTGCACCAAATCTTTATCACTATTACATATTGTCCTCATTGGATCAAGCCTGGTTTTGGTGGAATGCTGACTCTGGACAGTCTTAGAATCATCTACTCTTTCAAATATCCCTTTGAAAACCTTATTGTTAGCCATAATGAATGCTGAAAAGATTCCTGAATCACCCTAACCAGGTATTTTCACAACAATCAAAGCGGTACAAATCCTCCTGACAGCATATAAGTCTAATACTATTTTACCTCTCCCACTCACCTACCTCCAGTTCCACATACCTCACCTGCCCCTCAATAAGTGGACTCATGTAGGTATTCATCACCTAAAAGATATTCAGACAATAGATGACATAGTAACCTTTGCGGATTTACACAGCACATACTGTACAACCTCTCCTCGTCTGAATACTATAGATAGCTTCAAATCCGGACCCTATACAAATTACAAATTGCCAATGACTCTTACTATACCTACACCTATATTGAACCTTTATAACCTTCTTAAAGCACCCAAGAGAAGCATTTCCTTATTTTACCAACTTCTTAGCAATTGACATGCTTTTACTAAATCTGCTACCCTCTATAAGTGGGAACAAGATTTGGACACTGCATCTTCAAATGCATCTTGGCAATCTGCTATAATTCTGACCCACAAATACATATTATGTACCAACCAAAAAACCTTGCACAGATGGTATTTAACTCCCTACAGACTCTCCAAGATTAATCTGGCATCCCAGCTAATTGCTGGTGCAAATGTGATTGAATTGGATTGTTGATCTCTATTCTCTGGTATTGCCCCTCTGTTAAATCTGTTTGGAATCAAACTATTAAACTAAAGTGTTACTAATCCCAGGCCCTGGCATTCATTATATCTGGTCTCCCACAGTACACACAGCATGAAAATTGTATTATTTTAGTAAAGATAAACTGCTAAATACCTTTTATCATCAGCAGAATATAGCAGTCTTGTGACTTCTATCAATGTCCAACTGAGCACTGGTTAAAACTTGGAGGGGTTTTCATTCTCCTCTGACTGTCCTATGAGGCTGCATAACCCCTGACCTTCTCTCTGGACAGTGCTGATTGACCCTGGGCCAATCACATGCACCGTCCCAAAGAAATAATAACAAAAAAAAAACAAACTCTCTAACCATACACTCTAAACTGAGTATGTGTAGAGGGACTCATAGAGGTCTGTGCTATCAGCATATGGATTGGGGACAGTAGAAGAAGAGGATTAGAGAAGACAGAATCAAACAGCCTTTTGACACTTTGCAAAGGAATAACCCCGTAGGTTCCACAGTGAGTATAACAAGCATGCTTTACTGCATATACAGACTGTTTTTACTGTTGTGGATTTAGTAACATCTAATTTCTGAACTTACTCATTTACCTATACTGCCCTCAGCAGAACTAGCTCTCTAACATCTTGACATACATCTATGCCTAAACCAGTTAGAACAATAGTACTACAAATTCTCCTTTCTGCTAAACTTAGTATCACATGAAATTGGAAATCCCTCAAAGTACCTAACCTATCTGACATAACTGACAATTTGAACTATAACTGCTCGCTTGAATGCTTGTTTGCTCTAAAAAAAAAGATTATTTTAACAAATGCACAACTGCTTGAAATCCTTGGTTCTCATTCAAATATTATATAGGTTGAACCCTGAAATATGTAACCCCTCCTTCATATGCTATGGTTGAATAATTACTTTATCTTGGTTGTCTTATTGGTACTACATTGTCACTTACAACCTCTGACAACCTCCTATATGCGATTTATTGTGTGTCACTGTCTTCACATTTTGTCTCTACATGTTTTTTTCTCCTTTTTATGGTAATGCAGATATTATTATATCCCAGGCATCACTAAATGGCGGACCAGGGTCCAGAAGCGGACCTAGTCACTGTCCCATCCGGACCCATGCAATCCTGCCATTTAGGAGCCTTATCTTCCCCCAGCTGTCTCGTGGTCATCCTCACAGAGCTGACAGCCAGAGGCAGGACACCTCTGGATGGAGGGTGGGAGCTGCCCGAGGTTAACAAGCAGGTGATTGGTTGCTAGGATGAAGGGCAGTCCTAGCAATCAATCACTGTCTGTCAATCACTCTCTGTGTAAAGTAGGACAGTGGGGGGTGAAGTTAAAGGGGCTAAGGACATTAGTGTGAAGGGGGGCTGAGGACAGTAATGTTGGGGGCTAAGGACTGTGCTGTGTGTGGACTGAGGACATTAAAGTGGAAGGGGCTGAGAACTGTAATATGGGGCTGGGGGTAACTGGGGGGGCTGAGGACAGTAATGTGGGGGCTGAGGACAGTAACATGGAGGGGGGCTGAGGACTGTAACATGGGGAGGGGAGCTGAGAACAGTAATGTGGGGACTGAGGACAGTAACATGGGGGGGGTCTGGAGACAGTAATGTGGGAGGAATTATATAAAAATGGGCAGAGCACTCTCCAGTGAGGGGGCAGAGGACAGTACTGTTGAGGATTGGGGGGGTTTGATGTCAAGGAAGTTTGAGAACACCACTGTGAAAAGGGTGGAGGGGGGTGATATAAAGGGGGAGCTGAGGACACTCATCAAGAGGGATCTTGCTGTGAATGAGTAGGGGACTGTGATGTGCAGTGGGGATTGAGAACAGTGATGTGAGAACAGGTTCAGATCTGTATATGTGCATTTGGTGCACACATTATGGGTAAGTCAGCACTACCTGCTAGAAACCTGAAGAAGTCCCCGACCCTTTTTTTTAAAAAAAAAATTGTACCACAGCAACTCGTGGTTTGGCGCACACAAAAATGCACCACAGGGGCCTACATGAGATTCAGACCTCTAATGCATGCAAAATTTTGCTGCCCAGACTTTGGTGATTTTTAATTCAATACCCTTGTTATATCCTAATGTTTGTACTACTCTAAAGTGTTTTTTCAATAAAAACAATTGGAATTAAAAACTTTAACAGTTGATTGTGTGTAAATAATGAAAACAAGTGGCAAGTAACATTCTATAAATAAAACCAAGTTTTGTTAACAAACAAGAATATTGCTTTTCAACCACTGTTAATTTTGATGTAAAATTTCAATTCAATTTTAGTCATAGTCTTTTGACCAAAATGCCATTTTAATTTTAGTCATATTTTAGTCATCTGAATTGAAACAGAATTTTATTTTTGTTTAGTTTTCATCACTGAAAACATGCAGCTGACTAAAACTATGATAAAATTATTTTTTCGCTGAAGAAATTAACACTGGGTGAATCCAGTTATTGCTGACAGAGAACAGAGAGGACAATTCTGGGTCATGTACATCGTCCTCTAAGCATATGAGGAAAAGTTTTTCAAGTACACTCAGATGTCTGTGAAAAGGCGAGAACATGAAAAGTTCTCAATTCTTGAAAAACACAAAAATTGCTGTTCAGCTACTTGCATAGTTCACATTGTCAATTGTACGTAATCATTACCTAACAAACCTTGTTTTTTCCATATAGTTTAGATGAATTTTTTTTTCACCCAACTGCAAGCTGGAGCAACAGAACACATTCATCAGGAAATGTGCTTCACCAGTTGAAAGACTAATAATCTAGTTATGGCCCCCTTTAGTCGCTGCTGGTGCTAGCCCCGGATCCGTGATCCCTTTAGTTTCCCTTTTTTCATGTTTTCTTTCTGATTCCCTTTTGTTTTCTTTTCTTTCTCTTTTCTTTCTCTTCTTTTCTAACTTCCTTTCTTTTCTCTTTTTTCCACTATTATGTTGGATTACTGCTGCTATTTGGCGCGGCTGTTTGCCATCACTTCTTTATATCATCAGAATTTTTGTTATTTGACTAACACCAGTCAGCAGGATATCCCTGTTTATATGTTATTGTTCTGCTCTGCCCCTGCGAGGGCGTATTTTGAGCTTGCTATGTTCTTAAAACTCAAAACTTTCTTGATAAAAATATTGAAACAGAAAGACTAATAATCACATTGGAGGAAGTGTGTTAAATTTCTTTTATAAGCCATTCCCACCCTTAACCATATCTGAAATAATTAAGGATACAGGTAAGTTTAAATGCAAAAATACTTTATTTTTTTTACCCACCAGCATTTTTTTTTATTTCCATAAACTTAAAAGAAAATAATTTTTTAAAAACATACAAAAAATTAAGATTGTTTTTTCTTAGTTCCACCCAATAAGTTTATGAAAATTTTTTTTTAACAATTTCTTACCAAAGCTACATGCAACGTTGCAGATGCCAATTATTCTGTCTCGTACATTGATATAGGGCCTTATGGAAGCAGCTCTGACTCCGGTATTTTTTCACACTCAACACTTGAACAGCTTTTGCAATAAAATGGACTGGTCCTGCCGGAGGACTGTCCTCAACTGGGAACAAGGAGTCCTACTCTAACATGTCTTTGTAGAGGATGAAGGTTTCCTCTCAGTGAGCACCTTTTCTAGTTGCTCATTGAATGTAGATAGAAGGGTGTCTAAGGCAGGCCATAGACTGTGCGAGTTTCTTTTCTGCAACCCATGAACAAATTCGCACTATT